CAACGACAGCAGACATCAGTGGGAGTCGGTGGAGAAAGTCAGGCTCAAAGGCCAACCTTGCCACTATTCCCCGAGTGGTGTGTTTTGGATCATTGTCATGCTGAAAGACCCATCCATGTTTCATCTTCAACATTCAAAATCTCACGATACATGGCCCCATTCATTCTTTCCTTTCCTATGCAAAATAACAGCCCCAAAGCATGATGTTTCCACCCTCATGCTTCACAGTAGGTATAGTTTTATGGTACCAAAATACGACATTCTCCTAATCCTTTTGAATGCGTTGGAAAACGGCTGCAAGTCCTCAGTAGCTCTGAAACAGTTGTTGTTTTGTGCTTTTGAATTGGTATTTTTGTTGCTTTATTCTACCTGAGATGTTGGTGCAGTACAGTGTTCATGGGTTTGCACTTGTCCAGAACGGAGCGGAAAGGATTTAAGGTCCGAACCAAGCGGATCAGGTAAAAATCCCCTGGTTGAATGCTAACTTTTAATGAAGCATTTAGCATTTTACTTTGTGACTAGAGCAGAGAAAATGGTCCGAACCAAGCGGCTACTCCTCCTTGTGACCTGTCCTGCTACACCCAGCGGTCACTCCACCTCTGCTGCTGTGACCCGTCCTGCGCTGCTGCTGGACACCTGAATTTCTCTTACGAGGATCAATATCAATTTAAAAAAACCTTCAAAAATAAATGCTCTGGAAAAATACATTGAACAAAAAGAAACTTAGTACCATAATAATGAAAAATAGTAATATTTAAAAATAATATCAAATAATACATAATGATATTCATAATTAATAATATGTAGATATGTACGTATGGGTATCTATATGTATGTATTTGGCGCACCACGATCCGTCTCTGTCTGCTTCATCCCTGACAATATGTACATGTGGGTATATGTATGTCTATGTGTATATATGTGTGTGTACTGTATGTATATATATGTGTATGGATAATTGTGTATTATATTATATTATTATATATAATGTACGTATGTGTATTATGTATATATCAAGTTATGTATGTGTAAGTGTTATACATTTGATTGGCAATAGGGGGTAGGCCCAGATAAGCTGTTTCAGCTTCTGCCAACTCCCTTTTGGGCTATTTTCATTCTGTAGTATTTTTTTTTTTTCTTCACATTATTATTTCTTTTGTCTTCTAAATGCCCAAATAAACAAGACTCAAACAAGACTCAATAAAGTATCTATCTATCAATCTATCTATCTTATCCTCTTCTGGATCATCCAAATGCTCTCTTGCTAACTTCAGACGGGCCTGGACATGCACTGGCTTCAGCAGGGGGACACGTCTGGCACTGCAGGATTTGAGTCCCTGGCGTAGTGTGTTACTGATGGTAACCTTTGTTACTTTGGTCCCAGCTCTCTGCAGGTCATTCACTTGGTCTCCCCGTGTGGTTCTGGGATTTTTGCTCACCATTCTTGTGATCATTTTGACCCCACGGGTGCGATCTTGCGTGGAGCCGTAGATCAAGGGAGATTATCAGTGGTCTTATATGTCTTCCATTTTCTAATAATTGCTCCCACAGTTGATTTCTTCACACCAAGCTGCTTACCTATTGCAGATTCAGTCTTTCCAGCCTGGTGCAGGTCTACTACTTTTAACACCTCTTTGGTCTAGGCCATAGTGGAGTTTGGAGTGTGACTGAGATTGTGAACAGGTGTCTTTCATTCTGATAACAAGTTCAAACAGGTGCCATTAAAACAGGTAACCAGTGGAGGACCGAGGAGCCTCTTAAAGGAGGAGTTACAGGTCTGTGAGAGCCAGAAATCTTGCTTGTTTGTAGGTGACCAAATACTTATTTTCCACCGTAATTTGAAGAAAAAAATCATAAAAAATTACACAATGTTATTTTCTGGATTTTTATTCCGATAAGGTATACCTATGATGTAAATTACAGGCCTCCCTCATCTTATTAAGTGGGAGAACAATTTGGTGGCTGACTAAATACTTTTTTTCCCCCCTGTATTTAGATTCTCTGATATATCTATCATATTCGATTATATTTTATAGGGGATGACATTAGGACATGCACCCATGGACCACCCCTGTGAGTAATATTGTCTCTGTACATCAGTCTTGTGGGGCCGCCACAACACAACACATAATAGTGGCTTGAAACATTTTCATACACCTTGAACTTTTTTGTCACGAGTAGATAAGCCAAGGAGTGTAAATCCTGCTTATCTAGAGTTGGTGGTTCCTCAGAGAATAATGACATTTTCTTTAATGTAAACATTCTGCAAGAATATATCACACTTTATATTTCAAAGTGACACAGTCACATTAATGCGTTCTAAATATTCCCAGCAGTATGGGCTGAGTTATAAATTGTCATCATTCCAAATATACTCCTAGTTATCCCAGAAGAAAAAGTGAACATAATAAGTCAGAGCTTGTGTCTGCTAAAGCTGTTTTCTTACCGTTTCTCACCAGTGAAAGTGTTCAAACTGCAGCCACAGCTCTCCAGGGACTGGTGTCTGTCTGTGTCTGGGTTCAGTGCTCAGAGGAGACCTGGACGCGAACAGACCCGGTTAGATTTATACCTTTTGCTCTTGGAATATCCCAGAGAGGTGTTGGATGCAGCCGGGGGATTTCACATGAGTCCTCTCCAGTTTCTCTGCTTCAGCATTTTGTTTTACAGAGGACATTACATAGTGACAACAGCCGTTAAAATACTTTCACACTTCATACTCAGCTTTGTGGTTTTAAAGTCACATAGACAGCGCTACACTCTTTAAATTGAACTAAAATCATCTTCTGACCCCATTATAGTTGCTTCCCCTTGTTGTTTTTAGAACGCTCCATGCATTTTTAAGTCATTTCTATTAGCCAGCGGCCATTTGTCTCAAGGAAAAAATGTCCATACCTTTATGATGAGTGATTTGGAGATTTCATGTCCTGAATAAATGATAATGCTCTCATAGATTCCCATATATAGCAGACAGTGTTATATCTTTTAATATTTACTGAGTTTTTCATGTACAGTATATCTGTTATCAATTGCACATTTTTAACACTTACAATTAATATTAGATCCAGGGCCTTGGAGATATGTTGCAGCTGCAGCGGGCGTTTCATTTCAAAGGGTTATTCCTTGAAGCTAAATACTTATCTTATTCTAATGGTACTCCTGAGAACTATGCGCTTATGCTGATCTGAATGGGAAAAAAGCATCATGTTTGAAACCTAACATGCGTAGTTCAGCCATTCAATTTATATTTAGCATGTTGTGTTTTTTTTTAGAGAAGAATAGGAAGGGGATAAAAGCAAAGGTGACAAATTTGAGCTATTTGTGGCCTATTTTATCTTGTTTGTACCCGCAATTTTTGGAGGAACTATATAATAAGGACAAAGACTTTCCCAGCTTGTCCTTGGAGTGAAGTCAGACGAGTTTCATGTCTGTGACCCTTGGCTCATTGGTCAACAGCAAAAATCTGAGAAGATTACAACCTGGATGAAAAAAATAGGACCCTCTGAACAGCTTTTGAACAAGGATTAACATTAGACCTATGCACGTGGGACTCTATTCACTTAAGTTTTTTGTAAGACATCTTTAAACAGAGTGACCAAGTGTTTCCACCGGTTCCCAGTTCATAGTTTAATAATTTAGTACAAGGGAAATTATTAATGTTCTCATTTCTGTGCCAAACCTGCATGGTGAAACGGTGGTAAAAGACCTAAACTGTCTGTTTGGGTGGTGGACATGAAACCACAGTGTCCTTGGGGCTGTCTGCTGTAGACTGGCACAGAAAAGCAAACCGCCGGGAGCTCTTCCAGAACAGTGAGGCCGCTGATGTTGACTCAGGGAGGGTTAGCACTGCCATCCTTACACTAACGCTGGCCACAGAGACACTGTCAAAACAGCATTACATTTAAAGAGGCTACGGTGAAAAGAATCTCAAGTGCTGCTTTCCTGCTTCTTGTGTTGTTCCACTTGTGTTTCATACATTTTCAACAGAACTACACAGCCAAAGGTCCCAGCTTAAGGATAGGCGTGAGGAAAAGTACGGGCAGCAGCAGACGCTCAAGGATTTCCCAAACTTTTCAGGCTGGGAATGCCCAAATATGCAAAAAACTAAAATAACTTAAACAACATAAGCCTAAACATTTACACATGTACGCAGAGAGAATTAAGGAATTATTTCTAATTTATTCACAAAATCTCAGATGTAGCCAACCATTAGAGAAATTGTATGTTCTAAAGTGTCTCATATTATAAATAGTTAAAACCGCACAATGGGATCACAAACCCAATCAAGACTCAGGCGCACAAACAGAGAATCTGTTACAAATGTCTGTCTGTCGAAACAATGCCTGAAGCGTCTGTATAGACACAGCTGCAGTTCATACTACATTTGCAGTTTTGCTGTTTCTTATTTGATAACATATATTGTATGTGCTTCACGTTTCCTGTTGGTTAACTTAACGTTACTAATATTAAACCGAGTGTATTCCATAATTGGAAGGGCAGATTGCAGAGTTTGTGCACTGCTAAAACACTGGAGCTGCATTTGGTGAATGGTCAATATCCTGGATCGATGTTGTTCAAATTTGGGAGGCCATAGGGCCTGACAGATATGAATTGCATTAGTTTGGGCAGAGTGAAGAATAGATGAATTGGGATTGTTATGTTGTGGGAATTTTGGACCAATATTTTCTGTACATACTTGATTTGGAGGTTTGGTCCTTTGAGGCTTTTGTTTGGGCCAAATCAATCCAGGTGCATAAAGTTTGTCTCTATAACTCCTGAACATAATATAAAAAGTATATGTACACTCAGCAAAGTCATTATGGTGTTTATTTGTTTGTGTTTCTCAAGGAGTTTATTTTCATAAAAAGGGAAATACAAGTTTATGCTCTAAATTGGGCTGGAAGAAAATTAGACCGCCATGTGGCTGCCAGTCAAGCCACTGTTGCCAGGTGTTCTATGAGGTGAAATCAAGCAGGCGAACGAGGAAGAGGTGCTGTGGTGAGATGGAGAGGCCGCGTGGGCAGCCAGGGGGCTTCACAGAGGAGCTGAGTGCTGGGCAGGGAAACACCATTGTACTGTTCGTCTGGAGACTCTCTGTCAAAGCCGGCCCGTCTGACACCTTGGATCACAGTTTGATAGACGGAAGAGTAGCTCTCACTGACTACGTCCTATTAAGGTGGATGTTTTCAAAGTTTGGTCTGGGCACTGGGGAAAAAATAGGAAGGACACAGAGGGAAGTGGAGCTGAGCTGAGCTGACATGCTTCAAGACCCTCCTCCCTGCGCAGCTGAGGGTCAAATCACTGCACGGCCCACTCTGCCGTGGTGTCCAACTTGTGCAGAGCGAGGTGAAGGGATAGCCAAATGCCTCTTTAAAAAGCGGTCACATTTAAAACGCACAAGCACTCAGGGACTTCAAAGCCAGCATTGATGCATGTTAACAGGGCAGGTCTTCTTGCTGTATGTTTTGTATTCTATTGTGAAAAGGCAGCGTTGTGTCCAGCTGGACAAGTGTACTCGGGGCACCGCACCGTTCTGGACCAGTGCTCTCCCTGTGTCACAGCGCAGTGAGCAGGTGGGGGCAGCTGGAGAGGCTGGCTGACCTGGGGGTACAGGAGGAGGGGGTGTTTGTTTGGACGTGAATAGGCCCTGCACCTTGACCACCTATTATGAAGCTCTTTGCTGCAATGTCAAGTGAAAGCAAGTTAATTGGGTGAAGCTGTAGAGCATGTTAGGGTGCTGGCTGAGGGCTCGCCCGCCTGACAGTTGAGTGTCAGCGGGACCCAGTCAAGTGTGGCTGAGAGACAGAGCCCTGTCACTGGCCCTAAGCCGAGACACTTCTCCTCCCACCTAAACTACACCATACACACGTACACTTAGAGCCAATTACTCTCCTTCATTTACCTATGCTCTCATACAAGCAAGAGCAACTGAGAATGACCAGTCAAACCATATTATTCACATTTATTGGTCACATAATGTTGCTATATAAGTCGACCGCACAGCACAAGTAAACTCCACCCTCCAATTGCAGAATTTCTATTTTTATTCCAATATTTTTATTCCAATATTGTCTTCATTGCTATACTGATGGTTTTGTTTCAGAAACACACAAAGCCTCAGAAATGTGTGGAAATATTCTAAATTAATCAAGTCCCAGTGGGGGCTCAGGGTATAGTCCGAAGTGTCAAAAGGTTGTGTGCTGCCCATTTATCTTCCTAAAGCTCACATTCAATCTCCATCACTGTGTCACATGGAAATGAGACCTGTGTTGTGTAGCCCTGGATCGTCCAAGTGCCACTCTCAGTATGACAAAGAGAGACTAATTAGAATGCATTAAATGATAAATGTAAGTGCTATAGCCTTTGAATTGCTGTGTCAAACACCTCATTCTGCCTATGGCGTTAATATTACAGAACATTGAATATCCCCCGCTATGGCCACCTCAACCTACTCAATGATCCATAATGTGGGCCTTTAGAAACTGATGGGCCAGAACACAGTCTTTGTTTTGAAAGGCACAAAGCATTTGACAAGGTTGTTATGGCTTCCTCTGAACAGAATGACTGATTAAGCTAATTCTGTGTGTTGCTATAGTGTGCAGATTACAGCGTCACAACCATTAACATATTGTACTTTATGGCACAGGTATTAGCGTGGTAAGAGGATGGAAATCGCAAGGTAACTGTAGAAATGATTGTAGCAATCACATTTTACATAGGAGAGTAAAGTATAGGTGTGTGGGTGACATAGTGATATGGTATGAATTAAATTAAATTAAATTAAATGTATTCTTGTATAGCCCTAAATCACAACAGAAGTGATCTCAGAGGACTTAACAAAACCACTGAAATCGCCAACACAGATCAGAGAACACATAGGTATTGGTCCACATGGGTGTATGAAGATGGGAGGATTTTTTCCATATCACTAAAAATATGCTTGGCCAATAATTTGTTATTCACATTTTTAATTAATTTATATTTAATTTCATATTTATTATTCTGAAACCATAATCTTAGCTTTACGTGGATGTTTAAGCATTAATATATCTTTCTGAGCCTGTCTGTCAGTATTTAAATTGACTACTTTCCCTTTACTGCACTATTGAAAGTCTACTATGTGTGTACTTTGTTACTTTTGTATCCATGCCTTATGTCTATTTTTACCTTTTTAAACTTGTTTTCAACTTGAGTCAAAGCAAATTCCTAGTTTGTGACTTACAATGGCAATAAACATAATTCTGATTCAGTTAAGAATATTTTTTCAAAGCAATTCAATATGGTGCATTAAAAAAATAAAGGCTATTTGCCCCCAAACTAACGATACAATAAAATACAATACTATTGATACGTTTATATGTCATTAAAAATTAGTTGTTATTCATGTCAAAATATAAGTAAATATATAATATAGGTAAGTAAAGAAAATAGACAATAAGATTTTTTTTTTTTTTTACCACACCCCTAATTTATGCATCAATTGACGGGGCTTAGTGCGCATGTATTATTTGTTGTTCATTACATCATAAAAGAGCAATTACATGAAAGAAAATATACACATTGCCATACGTTGGTGTAGACACTTCAAAAGATGGATTTTATTCCTGCTGCAACATTCTATTCAGAACATTTCATGCCTTGTTTGGCTTCTACCATCTAACCAGTTTTCACTCTTTGTAGTGGAGATATCAGAAACTCCTTGAAACAAAATGCTCAAATTATCTTCACTTACTGAGCCGTTCCTATCAGTCCGGCTGTTCCAATTTCAGTACAATGCAAAGTTCGCACTGAAATGGAAACTGAGCCTAAAACCCGAGCTTCATCTTATAATGGACTCACACACCTTTAAATCTAATTCCTTCAGCATTTCTTCCATTGTATGAATGATTCTGCTCTGTATCTCTGCGATCATCTGCTAACAGCTCAGTAAACTGCTTACAGAACCATTACTTCTGCCTCTTCCTGTGTCATAATGGATAAAAGGGTCTACACACTGTCCGATTAAATATCTACCTGTGTGAAACTGTGGATTGTTGAAAGCATGATCAAATACTTTTTCATTTTGTGTCTTTTATATTGTATTCTGCAGAATGTAAATATCAGCAAACATCTGAGAAAACGTATTGAGAAATATGTTTTGAGATGTCATCATACGATTGTTGGTTTTCTGAAGTCCAAGAGGTGTATCTAAATAGGAGCAACATAATTATTTAAATGATGTGTCATGCACATGCTCACAATAGGGTTCTCCATTCAATCTGTTTAATGCTTTCAAATCATAGAAACGTCAATTGAGTATAAGGCGTGATGGCACCACTGAGACCACCTTTCTATTTTTCCGGCTGTTCTGTAATTAAAACGAGATAAGTTTTGGGTGTAAATTTTAAAAGTTCCTAACAAAGAAAAAAGCTCTGAGAAAATCAATAAGCCATTTTAGTCTCTATCTATCAAGGCAGATTCCTTCTTGTCTGTTTTAAAGTGGGGATGTGGCACTTTAATAGGATAGCACAAGCCTGTTTGAAATGTATGCCAATGATTCCTGTCATTTCATGGCAGCCCGGCCATGGTTCACTGAGCGCCCACTTCTCCCCTGTCAGCTCGACTGAAGACAAGCATTTAGTTGCAAACTTTGAGCAGGTTGCACAAACCAGAAATGATGTGACTGCTCCTTCCAATCCCCATCCTTTCTGCTCATGCGGCAATGCCACTGATGGTCAAAGAAGAGTGTTGCTTTACTCAAAGAACATGCTGATGTAGGGAAAGCTTTAAGGTAAATAGACATTTAGAAGGTTGGGGGTTACTGTGTTACAGGACAGCAGAGGATGCTGAGCAGAATGAAAGTGTACTTAAAGGATTTGAGTGACTCCTTCATAAGGTAAGCCTCTCGAGCCACTTTTGTTAATGCATTCAGTAACCATAATCTGCTCAGCTATACCTGTTTATTTTCAGTAAATATTGGTCTCTTTCACAACTGTACTTGGTAATGTTGTCACCAGCTCTTTTATCTGAGCGTAGACTGCTGGATGGCTGCAGTCTGAGTGTATTTAGGCCACAGCTCTATATTTTCAGGCTTGCAGCACACCAAAGTAAAATCGGTTGTCAGGCGGAGGTGTCTGTGAGCTGACAAGATGCCCCAGTGACATTTCAGCTCGAAAGAGCAAGTGTCTTGCAACCGAGTGGTCAAATATCAGAGAATAGGTCATGCAGGGTGGAGCTGAGTGCTATCCGGAAGGCCAGTCTCCAGCAAACGCCAAACGCCCTCTTGACTTTGACATGTGGGACTGCTGGGGGTCAACAAGGGCAGTGGAGGGGTGGCTGTGCGACTGGACAAAGCGATGTTCTGTTTGGCATGGCCAGACACCGTGCACCTTATTGGCTTCAAAAGGAAGAGATTTTGACATTGATTAATCTTCTTAACCCTCTTGAACATGAGGGATGTGGTGGGGGCCTTTTGCTGGGGAAGCAGCCCCAGAAGATGGGCCACTCCAGTGGTTTGTACGGAGCATGGCCCTCTGAAATGTACTCTGACATTCATTAGAATATCCTTGACACCTATCATGGGAGGGCCAGCAAGGCTAGAGAGCTAGGCACAGTCTCTAGTGATCCCTGTCACTGCCACATTCTCTGAGACTGAGTCCGAGCAGGCCTCCAGACTTCCGTCCAGATGAGGGGATGACATCTGTATGAGACCTGTGTGGAGACAGTTCCAGAGACCAGCACGAGCCTAACACATTCATTCATAGTAGAGGAGGTGGTCACTTCATTTGAGCGAGTGTCTTGAGCTGATTATTTTAGTTATATCATTACATATAGGAGCAAGAAAAAGAGACAGAGCAAGTGCAAGTGTCAAAGCCTTGACAGACATCAGGCGAGCGGCCATCCTGACATAAATATTTAACACCGAAGGGCAACCTACAGCATGTCATGTCACGGCTGTGATTAGGGCAAGCGGTGACCCCCCCTCACAAAACATGGTTTCATGTTGAAAAGGGGGTGTGTGTCAGAGCTTTGTAGGCACCCTATCAAAGCATAGGCCATGCTCCCTTTAACCCTCATTTCCATAAAGCCATTCCTTTGGAACAGTGTTCCCAGCAGGCCATACCCCCTCCCTGCTCTACTCCCTCTGCTCTGGCCCAGCCTGTTGCCAGTCTGTTCTGTGTGTTTATGTGTTTGCCAGTGTCATTCCACTTGACATCAAAGCTCTTTAAAGCCTGAGAGGGGCTGCTTATCATTCAGCCAACACCATTTGGTTCTTCCTCATCGATTGGTGCAAAAATGTTTTTCCAATGTTATGTCATTGTTTGCAGACTGCTGAGGGTGAGCCCCTGGTGAATAATTCTAACCTTAATTGGAAAGAAATCTATACATGGAAGTCGACTTGCTCGTAGGATCACAACGGCTTGAAGAAACAATTATAAGCATAGAGAGGTAATCAATGACGAAGCCTTGCCATGAAATGTCACCAGATAAAACTTCCGATGCCCCTGATTTATTAGCATTCATATGAGCCTTTTTATATGAATAGCAGAAGTAAAATTATAACTAGGAAGGCAGCATATTTCTCTTCTCAATGAGAATGCAATATATATGTATTATATATAGGGGCAGTGCTAATTGATGTCTAGTGTCCACAGTTCCTA